AATTAGTAAAATTGTGTATAATACTTTGCATATTTTTGTCCTTAATACTTTATGTAGGAATATATATAATAATATATTTATAATTTATCTTTAAAAAATTATATTAATATATGATTATTTTTATCACAATATATATATTTTTAAGTGAGATTAAAAATAATAGTTTGGGGGTAAACTTTTTTTTTTTCTTCTAATACTTTTATTATTTTAGAACTTTAAATGAACCTTATTTGAAAATAGTCTCGTAAGTAAAAGCTTTTTTTTTTTCGCTAAAATAGTTTTTTAGTGTCCGATAGCCCTCCGTTCCTAATGTGGCACTGACGCAGCTAACATGTCCTCATCACGTCGGCGATACGTGGATTTTTTCCTTTATTATTTTACAGAACATTTTGATAATTTTTTTTTAATCTTATATCTGACCTATTTTTATAATTTTAGAACTTTAAATGAACTATATTTGAAAATAGTTTTACAAGTAAAATTTTTTCCGTTGAAATGATTCTCTGTTGAGGAAGTGATTTATCGAACAAAACATATTCGAACACTTTAAAGGGTCAACTCCCGAAGCGTGAGCGGTTCACAGTTATAACTACGTTTCAACAATGAAAAACAATGCAGAACATAAAACAACAATAAGACAAGGTGTTTGTTGACCCGGTTCGATTATCAACCAATCTACATCCGGGGATACCAATTCAGGAGGAATTTCACTAACCAGTGCTGATTAAGGACACAAACAACCACAACTCATTTAACTCTAATGCTAGTAATGGCTAACCCAGGAAAATACGTCATAAGGTTCTCGTTGCTACAACCTCGTACTAACAACGACCATACAGCAGAGAATTCCAGAGCTTGATCATTCCCTTCGGTTGGAACTCCATTAATTCCGAATACCTTCGACCTCTCTGGCGAATTTTTCTGTCAAAAACTCATTCAAAACTAAAGGGAATCGATATGGATAGAGGGATGAGAGCTTCACTCAATATTCTTCTCTCTAAAGTATGATCTCCAAATCACACATTACCAATTTTCAACCATATCTGGTTGAGTAAATCACTCACATTCCTGGAATAAAAGATTTCACACTAATTTTCCTTTGCACCGTAATGGAAGGAGTGAATTTCCATATTTTGATATTTCCTCAAATATGTCTTTTGTCTTTTGAAAAATCTTTGTTGCAGAAATTAAGACACCATTAGTTCATATGCCAAAATAACTTAGGAGAATTTTCATTCACATTCTCCAATGTGGTATTTATACGGCGATGACATATCAGTCACATCAATGCCACGTTAGTAATTTACCCTAAATAACTATTTTAACAAAAAATTTCTTACCAAACTATTTTTAAATAAAATATATTAAAAAATTTTAAAATAATAAAAAGATTAGGGAAAAAATCAATTTTGATCACAATATAAAAAATTCATCAATTTTGGTCCCTATATAACCAAAATTTATCTATTTTGGTCCAAATATAAAAAACTCATCAATTTTGGTCCCAATATAAACAATATCAATCAATTTTGGTCCCATTATAAATAATTTTTATCAATTTTGGTCTCATCGTTAAAAAATAACGGAAATTGCTGACGTGGATATAACGGAGGTGACGTGGCAGTTGACTTGGAAAATACACGGCCATGTACAATTATACACGGCCATGTTGTTACATGGCCATGTACAATTATACACGGCCATGTTGTTACATGGCCATGTATATTTCAGTGTATAATCATACATGACCATGTTGTTACACGGCCATGTACAATTATACACGGCCATGTTGTTACAGGGCCATGTATATTTCAGTGTATAATTATACATGACCATGTTGTTACACGGCCATGTACAATTATACACGGTCATGTTGTTACATGACCATGTATATTTCAGTGTATAATTATACATGATCATGTTGTTACACGACCATGTATAATTCTACACGGCCGTGTATCTTTCTGTTTCGGTCTAAAATTTTAATATTTTGTTATATTTTTAATTTTTTTTAATTTAGAATAGTTGATATAGTTAAAATAGAAAATAATAATAATAATAATCATAATATAATTAAAATATATCAATTTTAGTTCAAATATAAGTATTTATCGAGTATGTTCTTTTGGAAGATTTTGTCTAAAATTATACTATTTAGCAAAAATTTCAATACATTAATTGGATGTTTGTAAGAGAATTTTTTTTTGCAAAATAATAGAATTTTAGACAAAATCTTTCAAAAGAACATACACGATAAATACTTATATTTGAACTAAAATTGATATATTTTAATTATATTATGATTATTATTATTATTATTTTCTATTTTAACTATATCAACTATTCTAAATTAAAAAAAAAATTAAAAATATAACAAAAATTAAAATTTTAGACCGAAACAGAAAGATACACGGCCGTGTATAATTGTACATGACCGTGTAACAACATGGCCGTGTATAATTATACATTGAAATATACATGGCCCTGTAACAACATGGCCGTGTATAATTGTACATGACCGTGTAACAACATAGTCATGTATAATTATACACTGAAATATACATGGCCGTGTATAATTGTATATGGCCGTGTACTTTTCAAGTCAACTGCGACGTCACCTCCATCATGTCCACATCAGCAATTTCCGTTAATTTTTTAACGGTGGGACTAAAATTGATAAAAATTGTTTATAATGAAACCAAAATTGATTGAAATTGTTTATATTGAGACCAAAATTGATGAGTTTTTTATATTGGGACCAAAATTGATGAATTTTTTATATTGTGACCAAAATTGATTAATTTTAATTATATTGAGACCAAAATTGATTTTTTTCCAAAAGATTATATACGATACTTTAAAAAAAAAAAGTAATTTACCCTAGCCTGAGTAAGAAATAGTAACATATTGATCACAAAATGCAATCGCCATTTCTTACTGGTCAAACCTAACTATACATACAAAATATAAATATAATCATATATTTATATCCACAGGCACAGATATATATGTCTTCAATAATTGCATGTCTGCTCTGTTGTCGTTTTGTATGTACCAATGGCCAAACATATATATATATATATACGCACACATACTCGACCCTCATTGTCTATCTGTTCTCTTCAGTTACAAATAATTAGGGTGTGTTTAGGGTGTGTTTGTTTGGGATTGAATTTTAAATATATTATTCTATCTTTTGTTTTTTAAAAAAATATCAAATTAAATATATATTTTTTATTTTTATATTATACTTAAAAATCAATTTTAAATTCAGAATATCACATCAACATCTATTTATATCACGTCATACAATTATTCAAATTCAACGTATTTACTATTCAAATTCCAACTCAAAATCCAAACCCTAAACTCAGACACCCAATGAACTGATTCATCATATTGTTCAAATTATTATTATCATTTTTTTTTAATCTTTATTGATTTGATGTGTCCGTGTGACAAATTAACATTTTTTTTACGCATTCATATGGTACTATTCATTTTTTAAAAAATATTACATCAAATACATTTTTTTTTTCTCACAGAACATTAAATTAAATATTAATATTTTACTTTTTTCAAATTTTTAAAATTTTGAAAACTTTAAAAAACCTCTATCTAAATAAAATCTGTTAAACGAGAGTAAACAAACCCTAACAAGCTATTTGGAAAAAGATAAAAAAGTCGTCTTTCACTTTAATTTTTCAATTTAATTATTGTTTGATATTAAGATAAAACAGTACAGGGTAGTAGGTTGAAAATTAATATTTTTAATTAGGACAAAATATAAGATGAGCAAGAAATCAAACCCTATATGAATAAGTGAGAAATTGTCCGGGTGTGTTCTTCTAGTGTTTTTTTTTTTTTTTTTTTAAATATTAATAAATTATATATATTCATTATTTTTATATTAACTATATAATTTTATATACCTCATGTAAAAAATATTCTTTAAAATTATTTTACAGCCAAACATACCTGAAATTCATACATTGGATTTTTATAATTTTTTGGAATTATTATTTATTAATATTAACTTTAAGAAAATATTATACCAAATTCGTATTATTTCTCATAAAATATTGGGTCTGTTCTACCAGCAATTTTTTAATTGCAATTCACAAAAAATAATATAAATTACACAACTCTCTCTATCACACACACATAAATTTTTTTAGAAAAATTAAATACTTATTACAAAAAATAAAACATTTAATTTAAAGTAATGTACTTCCTTCGTCCCATTGAAAGGTTGTCATTTTTCATTTTCGTCTGTTTTAAAATAAGATTATAATTTTCTAATTTAATAATTGTATTACCTACTTAACATAATAAATACTCTTCCAACTTACATTATATTACACAAATGTCATTAATTTTATATTACACAATACTAATAGGGATATTTTCGTCACTTTCACTACAACTCATTATATTACTAATATTAAAAAAATTACGTGCAAAAAGTAAATGACAATCTTGCACCAAAATAGAAGAAGTATTTTATATTTTTAACAAACTTCTCCATATCATACACAAAAAATCAATCTATCCAAAACTCTAGGTTAACAGAGCCATGATATTCTCTGTTTCAAGTCAACGTAGATATTTACTATTTTTTTTAAAATAAATAAATAAATAAATAATAATATTTTATTAGCTAGTAAATTATATAAAATAATTTTACTATTTATCTTCAAAATAAATCATTTTATAAAAATTTAAAATATTTTAATATTTATATATATATGAATGATCTTTACTATAAATATAAAATAAATATTTTGAGAGCCTGAGGAATAGTAAATAAAAATTGTATATTGAATTGGATCATAGAAACCATATTGAATCCATTTTTGTATTATTTTTATAAATTTCTAAACTCCACAGCTTTTAAAAGTGTGAGTTAAACAAAGCGTTATCGATTTTGAAGAGATAAATTTGTCCAAAAGTGAGAATTTTTAATATTACACGGAAGAAGAAGAAGAAAGAAGAGACATAATATTACAGTGGTTGGGGTTTGATCTGTAATGGAGAGAGGAGTCAAAGTCAGAAGGGGCGCGTGGATCCCACGACACCACCCATACGGCCGCGACGCATGCTGTCGAAAACCCATCTTTTTCTTCTTCTTCCTCTTTCTTTATCTCTCTCTCTCTCTGTGTCTACTCACCTAACCCTAACCCACTTCATACTTAGCTTCCCGAACAGCCCCCAGTCATAAAATCACCTCTCACTTTTTGCAGATCATTTCTTGTCTTCCTCCTCCCTCAGATGCATCACGCCGACGACGACGACGAGAGCTTCGCTGATTTGTTGGATCGAAGGTTTAGGGATCGGATGATTAGGTCTACTGCTTCTGCTCATCTATTCTTGCTCAGAGATGTCTCCTCCTCCTGTTTGTGTTGTTTGCTTTGTGGTTAAGTTTAGTTCTTCGTCTTCTTCCTCTTCTGTGATTTTCTTAATTGAATTTTCAAGTTTAACCTAATTTGAAGAAATCAATCACGGAGAAGAAGGAAAATCCTGAATTGATTGGGGATTTGGAGTTGAATCTCTTCGATTTGGTTGCATTATTTGATTCGGAAATCGATCGGAGGAGTTAATTAGATACATATATACATATATATATATATATGGATCAGCTAGCTCAGGGCCGTCCATTACCGCCGCCGTTCCACGCCGCCGCCAGAGATCTTCAGCTCCACCACCAATTCGCGGCGGTGCATCGCCAGTACGAAGACGAGCAAAGCGGAAACACGAATCCGAAGCAAGATCGGGGCGGCGCCGGGATTCCGGAGGCGGCGGAGGAGGGTGGGTCCATCACGCGGCGGCCGAGGGGGCGCCCCGCCGGGTCGAAGAACAAGCCGAAGCCGCCGATAATAATCACGAGGGACAGCGCGAACGCGCTCAGATCTCACGTGATGGAAGTCGCCGACGGCGGCGACATCCACGACGGCGTATCGGCGTTCGCGGCGCGGCGGCAGAGAGGGGTCTGCGTGCTGAGCGCGAACGGGGCCGTTTCGAACGTCACAATCCGGCAGCCGTCGGCGCCCGGCGCCGTCGTGACCCTACACGGCAGATTCGAAATCATGTCGCTGTCGGGGTCGTTTCTTCCGCCGCCGGCTCCGCCGTCGGCGTCGGCTCTTACCATATACTTATCCGGCGGGCAAGGGCAGGTGATGGGCGGGACGGTGGTCGGACCGCTTCTGGCGTCCGGACCGGTGGTGATAATGGCGGCGTCGTTCGGCAATGCGGTTTACGAGCGCCTGCCGCTGGAGGAGGAAGATTCCGGCGGCGGCGGAGCGCAGCAGGTAATTAGTGATCCAAATTTTGAGGAGATGCCGCCGGAAAATATGATGAATTCATTGCAGGCTGAAATTCAGAATTGGGGCAGTGGTCGTCCTCATCAATTTTGATTCTTAATAAGAAATCAGAATTGAATTGACTGAGGATGGGAGAAAGCTTTTTCAGGTGATTTAAATTTCTGATGATGATGATGATGATGATGATGATGAGCGATTTTTATTTTTATTTTTATTATTATTATTAGTATAATATTATTACTAAGAACGGGGATGCTTCTTTGGAAAACTTTATGTATAATAATAATAATAATAATATTATTATTAGATATATATACTAAGCTAGTAGAATTTACTGATGACACACACAGAGTGAGGTTATGGTGATAACTTTTATATATGATTGGGAGTGGTTTTAATTAATTAATTAATTAAATTGAGTAGTTTATAGTTAGAGAATATATCTTTATAATAAGTTTGTTAGCATTTGGGATTGGATGATCGATGAGAAATCAAGTACTGAAGCTGAACCATCCTTTCGTCTCTTCTCCTCGTCTCCTCTATCATTAATTATTATTATATATATATATATATTGTAGATGTAGATGTAGATGGAAGATAGAGTAGTAGTAGTAGTAGTAGATGGATTCAATAATATATATATATATATATATATGCTGCGCAGGTTAATTAGGTTGTGACGAAATTAATTACAAGGGGTTTCTTTTTTGCTTGGTTCATGTTCATCATACGTGCACACCAATATTTCTTTCTGACATGAAATAAATAAATAACTCCCAGAAATGGGTTATATATATAAATATATATATTTATATTATATGTATATATGATTGAGCTGAGTTGAGTTGAGTTGAGTTGAGTTGTATGTATGATATATATCATCAGTGTTAGTTATCTATGAAGAAAGTAGTCCTCCCCTACTTGTGGCACCTTCCAGCAGCTTCTTTGCTTTTTGTCCCACTGCATATGATATCATATGTGTGTCTGTACGTACATATGAGAGGGGGTTGATTGATACAAATGAAATGGAATTGGATTCAATGAACCAGCACTGTACTGGCAACAGGCAGTGGAGACTAGCGAGCGAGTGAGTCCCTTCATATAAATTGATAATTGAATTCAGTTATTTTTTCACGTCTAATCCAACAGTACCTTGCCGCCTCTTCTTCTTCCTCTAAATTTCTGCATATATATATATATATATATATGTATATTGTCTATCTTTACATGTCCCACGTCGGAAGTCGATAAAAAGGTAGAGATATTGGCTCCTATATATTGACCTATTTGGGTCCTATTTTAAAATATGACAACAAATTTTTTTTTTTTGAGTAACTAGAGATAGTGAAATTGAAATTAATGAGTTGTTGTGAAGAGGGTTTTGCAATTTTATCCGTGCAAAAATTGTAATAAATATTTTAGTGAAATATCCCGTTTTGGGATCGTGGATGTAAGTCTGTTGCGAAACCAAACTACGTTAAATTCTGGTGTCTTGTTATTTTGTTTTTTTCTCTGCACGCCAGCAGTCAGGTTGCAGTTCCGCTGCGGGTTCCGCTCTTTGATGGAAAGAGTAATTTTACTATGTGGCAAAGCAGAATTCAAGACTATTTGGTGCAGCAAGGTCTTGATGTTACCTTGGAAGATGCAAAGCCTGAAGGTATGAAAGAAGGTAATTGGAGTACAATTCGGGAAAAGGCTGTTAGCACGATTCGATTGGCACGCACCTCGCAGATAAAGGTTACCGTGTTGACGAAAATATTGCCGAAGAGGTTGTGGAATATTTTGGAGAGTAAATTTTCCACGAAGACGTTGACTAACCGTCTGACTATGAAGATGGATCTATACTCTTTGAAGATGGAGTAATGAGTCAATAGAATTGACCATACTAACAAGTTTAATGAGTTAGTATGTCGACTGTTGAATGCAAGAGAGAAAATTAAAGAGGAAGAGCAAGCATATTGCTCTTGTTAGCTTCATTGCCCAAATCCTACAAGCCGTTGGTGCAATCAATGTTAGTTGAAATAACTACATTGAAATTGAATGAGACGATAATGGTTTTGAAGAAGAATGACAAGATAATGGGAAATGAAGATGCTTCAAAAGAGAGTCAACTACTAGCTGTGGGGAGTTCTGAAAGATGGAGGAAAATGAAGAGTGACCGTGGTGGAAGATCGGAATCTCGGCCGAAAGATTACAGCTCTATTAAGTGTCATTATTGTGGAGAGTTTGGTCACATTTAAAATCACTGTCGACTTTTTAAAGAATCTTGAGAAGTCTGAGAAATTTGAAGGGTAAGTCGAAAGTTGAGAACTCCGCGAACGTGGTCAATTATGAAGGTGATTTACTTTTTTTAAATACAAATACTGTTGAGAATTCTAATTGGGTGATGGATTAAGATATCTATATATGTAAAGATCAAGCTTTATTTGATACTTTGCACAGAAAGGGAGATTTTTGCTATATCAATATGGGGAATAAGATGAAGCAGCGAATTGAAGGCATTAGAAGAGTTCGTTTGAAGCTCCATAATGGTAATATTAAAACAATTTTTAATTTGAGGTATGTGTCTACTGTTGGAGCTAATGTTATTTCATTGGGCGAGTTGGCTTCACATGTGCATAGATATGTTGACACTAAAAATCTATACAAAGTGTACAAGGTGACAGCTTGATTATACAAGGGAGGAAAAACCAAAACAACATCTATTATCTAGATAAATACGCCTTGCGAGCAAATGTGGAGAACAACAATGATATGAAGAATCAAACAATCGAGAAGAGAGTTCGTTTCCCTTACATGGTCGAAATATGTGAGATTATGGGAAGAAGGAGGATTTGTTGTGTAACTTCCCATGTCCCACATCGGAAGTAGATAAAAAGGCAGGGGCATTGACTCATATATATTGACCCATTTGAGTCCTATTTTAAAATATGACAACAAGTCTTTTGATTTAGTAACTAGAGATGGTGAAATTAAGATTGGTGAATTATTGTGAGGAGGGTTTTGCAATTTTATCCGTGCAAAAATTGTAATAAATATTTTAATAGATTATCCCATTGTGAAATCATGGATGTAGGTCTATTGTGAGATCGAACCACGTTAAATTCTCTCTTGTGTCTTGTTATTTTATTTTTCTTTCTTTTCCCTTACGTGTTCCCAACAATATATATGTGTACATATGTTTGTATGTATCTATCTATGTCTTTTTTGCTTTTGTTCATCGATATATATACATATATCTATAGAGAGAGAGAGTTGTATGGAAGAGAAAGTGCGCAGTGGGAGTGGGATCCTCCATTTGAATCCAAGCGGCTAGGTTTTCTGCTTCATCATTATTACATCATATATATATATATATATGAGTGATGGTTAGATGTTATTATTTTCATGTTGATTTTTTTACATAACACCGTTTCTCCATCTCATTATTTTTATTATTTTCGTCATTTTACTCCAAAGTATCTATTAATAAAATTAATTATATATCATCAAAATTTTGGAAATAGGAGGTTCCGAGGCTTTTAAAAATAATATAGATAATATTAAATAATTTTTTTTAATTATTTCAAAAAATTCTAAACTCTTTTTTTATATAATATTATTTAATTTAAAAGATATGAAATATCCAAGGCTATTTCATGACTATTGCTATAAGGTTCGGAATTTTTCGAGTCCATTATAAATGAACTCGGAATTTTTAAAGCTTTATTATATATATATTTAAAAAAAAAAAATTCAAATATTTTCAAGTCCATTGATTGGTCTTATAATTTCCAAGACTTTATTATGTATATTGTTTTTTTATTAAGAAAATTGTCTCGAATTTTTTCAAGACAATTTATTATATATATTATTTATATTTAATTAATTAAATAGTTTTAAAATTTTCAAACCTTTGTTATATATATTACTATTTTTCCCAACTATTCAATCAAACGGTATTTAACATGTTTAGGCTCGTTCCAAGTATTACGCTCGTTGGATTCCGGGGCATGGGATCATCGGTCCAAAATATATTCAGTCTATTCGGTCGAATCTCTAAGGAAGTGACGCGTGTCAAGTAGGCAATATTTATTTTTATTTTTTGTTTTAAATTAAAATTTTAATATTATAATAGAAATTGCAATTTAGTCCCCTTCTTGTTTTCAATCTTTTCCTTTAGTGAACCCAAATGGCCCTCCCCATTTCGACCAACGTTCTGCCCAGTTGTTTCCGCCGCTAACGCCACCGACGATGCGTCTGCCCGCACAGCCGCTCCACTGCCGACGCCACCACTGACCCAACCCCTCGAGCCTCTGACGCCACCGCAGACCGACACCGCCCGTCCCAGCCCCTCCACTCCCGACGCCACCGCCTATTCGGAGACCTATCCCTTTCTTGGGGGTTTTATGTTTTTTCTTTTGAGGCTTTCAGTGGAAGTGCGAAAAGTGATATTAAAAATTGAAATTTGAATTTTTGTTAATGTATTGGTTGCAAATTTTGAGAATGAAAAAGATTAGTAGAAGAAAAATATGAAGAGTTGAGTTATTCTAATTTTTAGAAGTTTGATTGTTAGAAATTCGTTCGGTCTATCTTTCCCACCAGGAAATCATCTTCTTAAGATCGTTTTAGTTGTATGTTAGAGTAACTGAAACAAAGATATGTATGTTCAAAGAAGGGTCCTCTGTCACTATTGATTTCATCACTCTGGAAATGTTAAGTTGAATTCAAATTTCTGCAAATCTTGGTAGCTGGAGTGGTCATTTGATTGGACATACATGATAGAGGACTAGTCCTGGACAAGAAAAGAGGCAACATTTGAAGGTTTGTGTTGTTTCGTTGGTCCCATTGTGTTCACTTTTATTACAGAAAATCCTCCATATTGATTTGTTACCTTCTTCGTTCGGCTCCGTGCATAACATCGCCAAAAGAAACAAACATAAATCCACTTGTATATAATTTTGCATACTTCTTGAAATATATACAAAACAATGAAAGCTTTAAGATCCTAAAGTTTTTCACACATTTATTTGTTAAAAAAACTTAATTCCACATCAACATAAACATACATAAAAAAAAAAAAAAAATTGGTAGGAAAAATGACTGCATTCAATCAAACTTCCAAAAATCGAGAGGTAACACTCATATTTTTCTACTACTATTCTTTTTCATACTCCCAAAATTTACAACTAACATTATTATAAAAATACATCAATAAAAATTCAAAATTTACTTCCACTGAAAGCCTCAAAAAAGAAATAAACATAAATCCCCCAATAAAGTGGTGGGTCTCCGAATAGCCGGAGGTGCGGGGCGGAAGTGGCAGGATCAGGCGGTGGCGCCGGCAGCGGGAGGGGCTGGGCGGGCGGACGCGTTGGCGGTGGCGTCAGCGGGCAGAACGTCGCACTCAAGTGGAGGAGGGGGATTTGGGTTTAGGAGGGAAGAAAAGATTTAAAATACGACGAGGAGTTAAATTGCAATTTGTGTTAAATAAAATTTTGATTTAAAATAAATAATAATAATAATAAACACCGGATACACGTCGCGTTTTTAGAGGCTCGACTGAATAAACCGGGTACATATTCGACTGAGGATCCCGTGCCGGATTCCGGGAGGATGTTGCCCCATGGATCCCAAGGATCCCACACCCCGTATGGCCATTGATTCATGCCAAAGGCCCTAACTACAAATCTTCCCCACTCTCTTCTACTTTCTTCTTTCTCTTCATCTTTTTCCCTGTCTTTCTTCTTCTTTTTTTGTTTTTTCCCCTATCGCATCGTATTTCTCCCGAAGACAAAGGCCGCCGTCGCCACCTGGAATCTCAAGTGAGTTTTTCTTTTTTTTCTCTTCTACTTTTCTCCGCCGCCACCGCCGCCGCCGTCAGCTGGAATATCCGGTGAATTTTGCTTTTTTCCTTTTATTTTCGTCCACAGCCGTAGGTAGCATTTGTTTCCGTCCTTAGCTTCTTACGCCGGTGATCGCCAGTCGCCGTCGTTACGGTTTCAGGGGTGGTGGCAGCTCTTTTTTCTTCTCCAACAGCGGCAGCGGTGGAGGCGGTCGCGGCAACTCCTCTTTATCCGGAAGCAGTGGCAATTCTTTCTTCTTCTCCGGCAGCGGCCGCGGTGGAAACGGCGGCGGCAGCTCCTTTCCTTCTTCCTCATCTTCTTCTCCGGCGACCGCAGGGCGGCGGCAACAACTGGTCTCCGGCAAGAGATTAGACATCCTCCACCCTTTTACTCATCTTCTTCTGAGACAGCTTCTATTTCTTCTCCAGCGCCGCAGGACGGCGGCAGCAACGGGTTGCCGGAAAAAATTGGACATTTATTTTTTTTAAAAAGAAAATTAATAATTGCTTCGGAAATTCCGAGGTCAACAAAAAATAATTTAATCAATATATGGGGTGCTTGCAACTTCAGATTAGCTTCGGAATTTTCGAGACCACCAAAATGACAACGAACTTTAATCTTCGGGTACCATTCCGAGGCTTTAAAAAATTAGTCTCGGATCTACTTTAAAATTCGAACCAAATTTTTCGAAGCTGAATTCAATATTTCTGATAGTGATACACTTATACTAAAATATCCTTAACTTTTATCTAAAAGGGCAAAAATATCAAAAACCTCTTATATATTTTCACTAAATAATAAAGTATTATTATTAATGCTAGGGGTATTGTAGACACCGTAATTTAGTAGAGATATATTTAGTAAATAATTAATATGTATCAGTAAAAAGAATTGGGCATAGCTCCCTGCTTTTTGTTTTGGAAATATTTGGAATTGTATTTCTTTACCGTATTTCAAATGTATAACTAATTAGTATAGTTAAAAATTTAAAATTTTGAAATTTAAAAATTTTAAATATGTTTAAATTGTGTAATACTTTTCAAAAAAAATAAAAAAAGTGAAATAAGATGTGGGATGGAATGAAAAGTGTGACATTACACGTGGGACGAAAAAAATATTATATTTTAAATATGTGTTTTTGAAACTCTTAATTCATATTTTTTGAATTTTTAATCGGTACTTTATGAACTTTTGAATTAATATTGTTTGAAGAACTAACAACACAATATAGAATTGTGACCGTAAGGTTATGGGTTCAAACCCCCGACACTTCAGGTTACTTGCCACACAGGGTTTGCCTAGTGTGACTTGTCTGTCGGGTCTAGTTTGCTTGGTATTAGGTTCGGCCGAGAATTTACCCACTGTGCACTTTCAAATAGCTGCTGCAGACTCCCCTGTTATCAATATATATATATATAATATAATATACATATGGAGCACCGAATATATTTGTATAGCACAATATATACTTTAGAAAATACAAAATATAGTTTTCTAAAGTGCTAATTTAAAAAATAAAAATATAGCACATAACTCCTATTTCATGAACTAAAGTGTTATCTACACTAAAAATTAATTTTATTTGAACAGTCAATATGCATTTTTGAAAAAGTCAGCACGGTATCGAAGTCGTAATAATGTTGACTATTGTGCAACACTAAAAATTAATTTTACTTGAACTGTCAATATATATTTATGAAAAAGTCAGCACGGTATCGAAATCGTAATAATGTTGACTAGCTTGCACAATAATGTTTATTTTGTTGATTCTTGCATCACATACAATATATATATATAGAATGGTTACGGTGTCGATTTAGAAAATTTAGCACGAGCACCCATAATATATACAAATAACAAATGTTCTTATTGTTAGAACTAAATAATGATTTTCATGAATAATACTTTTATATTAATTTGGTGGTTATATATTAAAATTTGATATATATTTTGATTTAGTGAATATTGAATAATGAATTATATAATAATATATGACTAAGTGAAAATTGGATAATAAATTAGTGATATTTGTATTTATCCATTATATATATATTTATATATATTGTAATAGTTTTGAAGAAAGAAAGCATCGAGAAATAAAATTTACTTTTCATCCTCAATTACTCTATATTTTTTTAATATTTATTTTTGATATCAGAGCCAAAGCCATGAATGGCTCGATCCCATTATCTGTGCCTGTTTTCGATGAAAAAAATTTTAATCGATGGACCGTCCAAATGAGACTGCTTTTCGATTTTCATGAATTACTGACTATTGTTGAAGAGGGTGTTCCAGCATTACCGGAGGGTGCAATTGCTGCACAGCAGACAACCAATAGAAACAATGAGAAAAAAAGTAAAAAACAAAAGTCCTTTATCTTATTCATCAAGGTGTTACCGATGAAGTGTTAGAGAAAATCGTTGGAGTTACCACATCAAAGCAAGTGTGAGATACATTGATTGCGACATATAGAGGTGATGTGAAGGTTACGAAAGTGTGGTTTCAAATATTGAGACGACAATATGAGCTTCTTGATATGGGAC